TTTTAGTATAGTTACAGTTAGTTTGAAGATGCATGTATCTACAGTGTAAGTACACATTCATGTTATAAAAGTTGCTATATAGTGAAATAACGAGTATTTCGTGTCAGATATATTTTTTTTTCTATATTTATTCATAGTTTCTTTCAATATATTTGAATATTATTGATATTGTTTCAATACATTTGGATAGAACAGAATATCATACCATGTACATTTCAAAATATTTCATTTGCAGAATAATAGCTTTTGTGTATAATAGCTGTGAATTGATATTCTAATACGATCTATTGTCATTTCTTGTTAACAAAACTTACGAAACAAGATGAGTGAACTAATAACTTTTTATTAATTATAATATTATTTTGCGTCATCGGATAATTATCGAACGCAATCTCATGTAGTTAAATATAATTTCTTAATGTATTACAATTTTGACGCATTTAGTACGCATTAAATAGATCTAGATCCATTATCTGGATCAAATGAAAAAAAATTGTGATTAATACTAATATACCAAATTAAAGTAAAGTTATTAGTTCTAAAAGTTTCATTAATCTTTTACCACATCTTGAATATGCTAGTTTATAAAGTATTGTTAATGTAAATTTTTAGCATAACATATTAGGGGTTTAAAACGCTATGTTAATGTTTAAGCTACAAGCAAATAACAGAAAGGTTGTATTGATAATCTAAAAATAAAATGTGCGCTTAAATTATTACAGTTTCAACATAGCCCCAAGCCATCTATGAAATTATATGTATATGTATAGATCAAACTTATTATTTTTTTTTGTAATTTATTGGCTTTTACCAACTCTTGTTTTAAAAGTTACTTTAACATTTTAATTAAAATATATTACGTTAAAAAAAACTAAAGATATATTTTCTTTCTAAACAAATTGATGTATAATTACTTTATTTATTTTCTCTATAAATTTCATTTTATACTAATCCCTTGACTTAGTAGTATCTTAAAAGGTTAAAGTTTGTATCATAATGATAGACATAATATATTATAATGATAGACTATTCAAATAATTATTTCGTTGCCATATAAAAATATTAACTTTGTTCAAATTCTTTACTTTCCAAAACATCAACATCTGAAACGAAATTTTAATTTTTACGAATTGCATGTATAATTCTATAAACTTATAATGTTCCTTTTTTTTTTTTTACAAAATATCTCTGCTTCATCGTTGAAAGAAACAACAAAATTTCAAAGCAAATTTAAAACAATTTTACATTATGTGCTCCTTTCATATGTTGATTATATATGTATATTTTCTTTTGCGATTGGCAGTAACAAAAGTAGTGAAAATAAAACGTAGCACCGATATTTTGTACAGAAAAAGATATCAACAAAATTTTTGTTATACTTGCATCCTGCTGCAAAAATTCGACAAAATTTCAACAAAGATAATTATAAACAGAATTAAAAGGAAACATTTCCAATTGCAATATATACAATAAATATTTAAAGGTAACAGGAAGTTTTCCACACTTCCATACCATTCCATATTACAGTATTTGTACGTATATATATTCCAGTAAAAATTAAGAGCTTTCAAGTAAAATAATTTAAAATAAATTCGAACAACGCTTTTGTTAAAAACAAAGCTTTCGTACAAATCAAACGACTACTTCGTTTTATCATTTTATTATAACTCGTAGCTAAATTAAATTTATTTAATAAAAAATAAAAATGAAGGTGGTCAGTTTTAGATGAAATTATATATCATAAAAAGTGATGCAAGTGTTGATGCAAGTATCATCGGTATATTATAACGTTTATGGAACGTATTTATAAACGTGGAAAAACTTCTTTAATTTGAAAATAACCACCTTGCCATTTATTAACAGTACTCGTGTTATCTTTACAGAAAAATGTCACGCATCTGCGAAGGAATAGGAGAATAACGGTGAGTCAGAAAACGCAGTATAGAAAGACCTTGTATTCATGTATAGAACACTTAAAATACTTTTTTTTTTAACTCTTATGTTTATACCTCAATGTAGCTATGGACACCTTTTTCCATTGCTCTATATCGTGCATTCATCTCTTACATTTACTCGCATGTTATGTCGTTTATTCGAAGAATATACTGTTTCATCATCGTTGTTAGGCGTGTGTACCAGCGGAAATTAAATAATGAATAGCGCTGTTTGGATATTTGGGCTGTAAGAGGTCAAGGAAAACAAGCTCACGAAAAGTTAGCTACTTGGTCTCTTTAGTTTCACCTTCTTCTGTGGAGAACTTGCTTGCAAGCGTATATTTACACCACGTCTCTTCACTTGAGGGTTATTCTCCATAAAATTAGTTGGATCTGATGATGATACAGACGCTAGTGCAATAATTAAAATATAATTTTTAACATTACCAAAAAGTATTTGTTTAGAAAAATATATATATAACTAACCTTGTTGTAACCACCTAACTTGTGTGGCTGGTCCGTATCCTTTAACATTTCGTGCTGCTATTCTAAATATTATGGCCGGTGTTCGAGTAGTATCAACATAAGCGGCACTAAGGGAACTATTGGACACCGAACAGGAATTATTTGTACCGCAATAAAATTTTGTAAATGTTAGATTCGAATTCGACGATGTTGTCTTTGGTTCTCCGTTATTATTTGACGCAGTATTTGCCATTGCTATATAGGCAGAATATTCTAAAATGGGTCCATCATTTCTGTTAGGTGGTGGTTCCCATGAAATATGAGCACCGTCTGCCGTTTTACTAATTTTTATAGCACTAGGTGCCCCGGGGAATCCCGGAACATATGTTCTGAATGCCGATACCTTAAATAAAGAAGCGTTACATGAAATTGTATACATTTATTTTAATGTCTGTATTTATTACTGTTTTATTTACCTCACTCCAATCACTTTGCCCGCAACTATTCACAGCGGCAATTCTAAGTTTATAAATGGTTCCCTGTTCTAAAGGAACCTTGGTTCTTCCTTCAAAAACATCCATAGTTAATGGTTGCGTTATATCTAAAGGTTCATCATTAGGTAAGTAATAATGTTGTACAGTAAATCGCGATTCCTGCGTTACTCCTACGTCATACCATTCTTCTTCTTTCTTTTCTTTTTCAGTCTGCAAAAAGAGCATTAATAAATACTTACATAAAGAAAAGGAAAATTAATTGCAAATAGTAATCTAAAATATGCACCTGTTCAGCCTTTATTTTCATTGGTTGTTCCGCCGAACCTAAAGCAGCTGTAGCCAATGTAGTTAATGCCGTGGAATCATCTCCATTTTCTGCTCTAGTACCATTCATTTTTTCTTGTTTTAAATTTTCTTTTTTGATAACTTCATCTTTTATCTCCATCTTTATTGGAACTACTGACTTTTGAATGTCCATTTCTTTCTCAAGAATTGCAACATTATTAATAGATGAAATTGGCGGTTCTGCAATCTTATCTTGTTTCATTGGCTCATCAGATTGTTCTAACTTTATTTGCATGATAGATGTTGTGATTGGAATATTGACAGTGGTAGAAGTTGAACAAGAATCTGTAATCATTGGTTCATCATTGTCTTCTAATGTTTCCATTGGAGTTCCTTCAGGAGGATCCGTTGCTGGTTCCACAGCCTCATCTTCGATTTTTTCTAAAGCTTGATTTTCTTTTTGAGAAAGCTGTGATAAACTATCTTCAGGTGATAAATGTTCAGAAACAGATGGTTTCTCAGGCTCAGAATTATATGTATCTACTGCCATTAATTTTATATCATTATTTTCAATCTGTTCATTTTCATCATTCTCTGGTAGTTCCATAGCATCTGGCATAGATGCTTCCTCTGATGAAGCTTCTATTGGATCCTGCATACTAGATATTTCAGGTTTTACTTGTGCTTCTTCAGCTGATGCTTCATTTATATCTTGCATATCAGTTTCATTTACTGTTTCTGGATCATTAGAAACTTCAATAGGTATTTCATTTTCATCTGGCTGAGCATCAACAGACGGTTCTGGATCTACTGGCATATCTTCTGTAGCACTTGTAGAAACAGGAAGTTCAGAAGCTCCCTCTAATGAGGTTTCTGGATCTTTCATGGAAGATTCGTCCATATTAACAGCTTCTGCTGATGTAGCATCTGTATCTTGCTCCATACTTGCAGAATCTGCAACTTGCGAGTCTTCTTGATTTTCTAACACCGGATTTTCCGTTAAATCAATCTTATCGCTCTCTTCATCATCATCAGATAGAAGAAGATCTGCCGGACCATCAACTTGTGGAATTAGAAAGTTACCGTCTCTATCAATTTGCATGGTTTCACCAGCTCCCATTTGAGATACTAAAGCAGCAGCTGTGGTAGTTTCATCACCATTACAACTATCTTCCATTTTACTATCACCTGCTCCACCATCATCTGTAGAGACCATGAAGGATAGATCACCAGAAGGCTCTTGAACTGGATCTATTAAACCTGCCTCTGCAGCTAACGCAGCCAATGCGGCATCAGTAGTAGCAGGTCCATCAGATGTAGATGCTAATGAAGCTGATGGTTGCTTTTGTGATGGGACAAATAACATTTTACTCGTATCTATTGTCTCTGATGCACTTGAAGTAGTCACTATCGTGCTACTTGTAGGCATGAGAGTAACCGTTTTCGCGCCTATTCCTCCAGACATTTGTAACGTTACAGGCTTACCAGACACTGTCACAGTCTCTGGTGTTTTTTGTATTTGTGGCATGGTAACAATTTGACTTTTTCCAGGATTAAAGATAGCTTGTGGACTGCCTTTAGTGGCAATAGTTACTGTTTTTGGAACACCGCCTTGGCCGGGAACTGTAATAGTAATCGGTTTTCCGGTAGTTCCACCTCCCATTGCTCCGGACGAAACAACAATCATTTTTACCCCTTGTTGATTCGTTACGTGATTAGTAGCTGATAAAGGTAAAACATTCACAGGTGTTGTGATATTTGCCGTTTGCCCACTGCCAGCTTGAGACGTAGTAACGGCTTGTATAGTTCTTAAATTAGATCCCGTTGTGACTACTATTATTTGATTACGGCCAACTAATCCTCCATTACCACCGGGTTTGGTAATCATTATTGTTTGTTTACCACTAATATTTTGCCCTTTACTCATTGCAACAATATTAGATGTTTTCATAGTTGTAAGAATTTTAGAGCCCTGTACAGTGTTCGGATTTACTAATCTTAGTATTTTTGCTCCCTGATTCAATGGCTTTGCACCTGTTGCTTGAACAGTCTTTCCTGGGATAAGGCTCACTTTAGGCACTGTTGCTACCATTGCCTGTGCTGTTTTAAGAAGATGTACAATCTGCGGTTGACCAGATATATTCTGACCCGGTTTTTGTAAAATAATTTGTTTACTTTGTTGTGGTGAAGCAGTTCTCAATACCGTTGCTCCGGGTGCAGCGAAACGTATTTGTTGACCAGGTTGTACATTTTTCATCCTGATTGTGTTAGCTGTAGTTTGTGGAAGAATTGGTACATTGTTCATGCTTATTTTTGGAGTAGCAGCAGCTGCTGCTGCTAAGGCAGCAATTCCTGACATAGCAGCTGGTGTTTGGCCTGCCACTGTAGTAGTATTAGCAGTTGGAGTTTGTTCAGTAGCAGTGGTTGCTGTTGGCGTTGTTGTAACTAAAGGAGAACGAATTCTGATAAGATTCCCGGCTACTCTCGGTGTCAATGGACTCGATGGTTTTGTTACGCTTTGTGATGGTACTGGTTTCTGAACTGGGCTTTGTACAGTTGACTGAACTCGGACCGGAGTCTGTGGAGGTATGGACGGTCTAATAGTGGTTGGAGTTTGTGGAAGCTCAGGAGCAGCAGTAACAGGTGAAGATGTAGCAGAATCAGTTGCAAGAGTAACCATTGCTGATGTCGTGGTAGGTGTTGCAGTGCTTGCTGGAGTGCTGACTGTAGGAAATGTTCCAGTTGTCGCTGAAGGTTTACATTTCTGTATTTGCAATATGTAGTATTGTGCAGATGGTACTGGTGTCCACTGAATTTCCAATGCTTGTAAACTAGCCCTAACTAAGTTCAATTTTGATGGTGCAGATGGTTTACCGACTTCTAGATACCATAAATCTTTACAACAAACCTGGTGATAAAAAGTAAATCATATTATATACCAGATAAAAGTATTCTTAAATTAAAAATAAATTTTAAGGACTAACCCTAACCTGATTGTTCCAAGCTTTGCGATATCCATCTCGACCAGACCACACATAAAGTTTATTATGCATTCCAATCGCGCAGTGACCAGCACGTGCGCGAGGAACATTTTCTTCCAATGTATCAACTGTTAACTGTTCCCATGTCCAAGTTTCTAAAATAATGTCAATTAATCTTATCTTCTATATAATTACAAAATAATGTCGGAAGATGTAACATCTACTTACCTATATTTAAACAAGCCAATGTGTTTGTGCATTTCCATTCTTTTTCGTGCGTTGCAACTTTAACATCGTCGACAACGAGTGGCACCCATCCTCCGAAAACGTACATTCGATGACCAATTAAAGTGGCAGTATGAAGAGAACGGGGTAACGGAATAGGTCCATGAACCACAGGCTTGTGCCAAGTCATTGAATCAACATCAAGATACCATAAATCACCCAAACGACAACCACTCATACCACCATAAATCACTAAACAGGTTTTTCCTGTCTTACTATCAGTATAAGATACTCCAGTATGAGACTCTCTAGGTGGTGGAGCATGTCCATGTGTTTGTGGTACATCCCAAACTGTCCCTCCATTGGGAAGTAGTTCAAGAGTATATAGGTCATTTAAATATCTTGGTATATTGTTCTTGTGATCTTCACTATCATTGGCCAATCCTCCAAAAAGAAAGACTCTGTTACCAATAAGAGTGAAACTATGTCCTAATCTAGGACATGGTGGTGGGTCATTTTCTGGTGGTCTGGGTCTCAATTTTTTCCATTCCCATCTAACAGCTTGAAGTTCATAAAGCTCGTCTGAATACTTTCCATATTCAACCATGCCACCAAAGACCAAAATACGGCTTCCATCAACAACAAATCCATATGCAGCACAGCCAGGTGGAATATCACCTTTTGTCGATGGTACAAACCATTGATTAGTTGCTGTAAATGGTAATAGGGTGAATGAAAATTTTTTTTTTTAAATTATGAATATAAAAAAATTAATGTAATATTAGTATAATAGGAAAAAATTAGTACAAAATTAATATATTCTTGTAATAAATAAAAAACAATGTATTTAAATATATATTTATAATATTATAAAAATTTACATGACTTTTATCAATAAATAAAAACTCTAAATAAATTCATAAATTTATATTAATCAATTTAAAAACTAAAAAAATAATATTAAATTTAATAAAAATTTATAATAATCTTAAGTTAGTATCTGTAATTATAACACATTACTATATTCATTACTTTTATATTACAAATTATATGCATAATTGAAGTAATATCATTAAAACGTTTCAAAATTAAGTACAAAATATTCATCATCAATACGCATGCGTATAATTGTTGGCACATAGTAAAAGAAATGCTATACGCATTCATGATATGGTAAAGATGTGAAAACCTAAAATGAAAGAGTGGGAGAAGAAATAGGAACGGAAGGAAAAAAGAAAAGGAAGGGTGAAGCGTGAACGTGGAATGACGGGAAACGCGGCGCGTTGCAAATCGTGGTGGGGCATACAAGACAGCAATGGCCGCTCCCGTGCGTATAAACATGAAAAATGACAGATCGTACTAATTCTACGTATGAAATCAACCAAATGTTTAACAAATAACACTTGAAAAGACATATATAATAAAGATACATTTAACGTATATGAAATATATGACAGTAAGATATCTGACATAAATAAAATTCATGGTTTTCACGATGATCCGGCCGGTGACCGTTTTGTCAATGTATGCCGCCATCTTGGATCGCGGGAATCATCAAGAACGGCGCGAAAGACGCACAGCAAGAAAGCAACTTACTCGTGTTATACACATGAAGCTCGTCGACAATGCCCTCATTTCCACCGCCGAAAACGACCATAAGATCCTTAAGAGCAACTGCCCTGTGTCCATGTCTGGGTCTTGGCTGGGGTCCGGATGGATTTGTGATCCGCTTCCACTTCAGCATGGGTGCCGCCATGATGACCATCGATCACATCATTTTTTCATACCGCGCAGCTATGCACCCACCGTGTTACCCCTAGAGCAGTACAACGCCCGATGGTTTCGTAGATAGTGCGCCTTTTTCTTTAAACTTCTCGAACTTCAATGTTCACGATACGATAGCTTGAATAACTTCGAAGGTTCACACACCCAACGAAAACTTACTACTTCTTGATATTCTTAGCACTGTCAATATCGTACCTCTTGATTATAACCTACCTTCGGCTATCGTCCTTTCAATTAACTTGACTTAAAATAATGACTCATATAAATATAAAGCCAGATGAATATTCTCCGATAAGAATCATGAAAATTCTACACGGTTTAGAAGACGTCTGTAACGTAACACGTATACACAGAACGCACACCGTGTATTTACGTTCACGATGTTTACGGCACTGATTTCATGGTCTTCTAGTGTGCTCACTCAGTACTCATCAACGATCCAACCCTGCATATATTTTCCATGCTGCATTGTACAATTATTATTACAGATAAATAATAATTTAAGCGTCATATTTCAATCTAACACTATTCTTATAGAATCTATAAAATAACTTTATCTCGTTGTTGTTTTTGAAAATTTCACAAATTGACAGAAAACGACATAATAAATGAGTTCCCAGAATTCCCTAGATGATCACAATATAAATTTATAAATATATGATAAGAAGTTTATAATACATGCTGTAGAAAATATATTACAACTTATAATTTTATAATTTGTGCCTTGATATACTGTTGCATGCGATTTACCTTACACAATTGCAAGATATTACCAACATTAATATAGGAATTTTACATACTTTATTCATTGAAATGCTTCTTTTCAAAAGATTTAGCAATTGCTTATACGCCTTAAGTATTACTACTAATTTTAAGTTACGTTATACAAAATTGTATAAGTATGTTTTAATTATTTATAGTAATCATATAGTTGTTTAATATAAATAATGTGAATCATAACTGAAAAATATTCCGCTTTTTATGAAAACAAAAATGAACATTTAATAGAAGATATAATAAAAAACTCTTTAGTTCTTAATTTTATTGTATATTTTTAAAATATAATTTATGTATATACTGTTTCAATGTGAAATAACATTAATATTAATAATGTTACACAGATCTTTGACCGTAAATAGCGAATGAAATATGTTAAAAATTTGAATATCCTTAATAATATTTATAATATTTTTTGGAATGATATAATGTTTTTTATCTACAACATAATTGAAAAATTACAAAACGATAATATTATATTATAATATATTGTATTATTTATAATAACGATAATAATAATAATAATAAAAGTACTATTAAAAAAATTATCGGAATTGAACAGGACTTATCTTTAAACCAATACATTGTTTTCCAATTAATGCTACTTCACAAACTTTGCATACTGTATCTTTAAATTGAGGTAAATAACTTGCACCGCATAACGGGCATTTGACTTCTGGTTTTCCTCTATAAATTGGAACAAATGTGCTTGCACATAGTGAGAATGGATTATGTTCGTCATATGCTAATTGATGTTCATCTACCGGATTTTTATCGCAAGCCTAAAAAAAGGAGATGGAATTATAATATCGTTTTGTACTTTAAATTATATATTTTAACAATATATACGATAGTGTACATACCTGTAAAATTTTTCTAACTTGTTGTGCTAATTCAGGCTTAGGTCCTAATTCAAGTAATCTTCTTGCAAACGATGCTGCAGTTTTGTAATTCTTTAATTTGAAGAACATATTTACAGCTATTCTTAAAGTAAGAATCTGATGAATAGGTTGCAAATGACAGTGTGTGAAGTAGGCAGCCATTTCACAGATTCGTTTCTGTTCGGCTAAAGTAGCTTTAGGTAGATTTTTCCTTTCAGTTTCCATTTTCAAACCTAGGATATACTCTCTGCAAATCTGAATCAGTTCCTGTGCTTCTATAATGTCCTGTCTTGCATCAACAACCAATAATGGCACACTGAGTAAGATTGCCTGTAATTTTTCTATAGCTTCTGGAAACTTTCCACCAGTTGTCAAATGATAGCATATTTGAAGTCGTTGAACCAGATCACTAAGATGAAGTCCAACAGCGGGAAGGCCACTCTTTGGGCTTATATCTTTCAAATTTCTTTGAGGATATCCATATAAAGAAAGTATATTCGGTAACGAAGCAAACGATGTTCTAGCGCGCGCGAAAGTATTCATGAAAAGATTTTGGTAAGCACCAAATTCAACTACACCAACTTGATCGTTTAACAATCTAAATGCCGTTTCAAATGATCCAGCTAGAATATGATCTACAACTAACTGAGAATTGTTTACCCAATGCTGAGTTGGTGATACTCCTTTTGTTGGCGGTGAATAATAGCCATCTTCCACCGCCGTTGCTGGAGTTTCGAGTTCTGGTGGCAAATCTACATCCTCGACATCCCAGCCAGCGCTTTCTTCACCTTCAGGAATGTTTTCATTTTCCACGCCTTCTTCATCATCTATTCCTAATTCTTCGTCATTGCCCCATCCCTCAGCAGGTACGGCACTGTCATCTTCCGGAGCCAAAGCAGCAGCTACTTGACTCTTTCCGCGCGACATCATTGCTCCTTCAAAGAAACCTTTTGATACTGTTAACAACGGCCAATTGTTTTCGGCCTGTTGAATTGGTACCGGAGGTCGGAGATATTCTGCTCCTTTTTCAAGAGCAGACAGTTCTTCGCTCATAGAACTATATTGAATATCATCTTCTGCAGATGATATACCGTGAATTTTTTCAGTCACATAAGCCAATGAGGCTTGGCCAGAATTCTGTAAAATAAAAAAAAAAAAAAAAAAAAA